TGCGACAATTGGATTATATTTCCCAATTTTCGACCAACATACAGTTTATAAAAGGTGAGTCAAATGTTGTTGCGGATACTTTGTCACGTTTCAACGTCGATGCAATTTCCTTCACCAAAGGAATCGATTTATTAGACATGGCACGTTTGCAGACAGATGATCCTGACCTTGATGCTTGTAAACAAAGTTCGAGCTTGTCCTTAAAAAGTGTTCCTATACCGCATTCTGACTCTACTATCATTTGTGATACTTCTACTGGAACGCACAGACCTTTTGTGCCAATAGTGTACAGAAAAGAGTTTTTGATTGTCTTCACTCACTATCCCATCCAGGGATTCGTGCTACTGTGAAACTGATTGCCGAAAGATTTGTCTGGCCAAAGATGAATGCAAATATAAAACTATGGACCAGGACTTGTGTACAATGTCAACGTAGTAAAATACATAGACATACGATTACAACACCGTCAGCATTTAGTCTACCCGACCATCGTTTTCAACATGTTCATGTTGATTTAGTTGGTCCTCTGCCTCCATCTAATGGATTCACTTACATTTTTACTGCAGTGGACCGTTTCACTAGATGGCCAATGGCATGCCCAATAAAAGATATCTCCGCGGAAAATGTTGCTGCTGTATTCCTCGACAGATGGATCGCTAATTTCGGTGTACCTTCTACAGTTACTTCTGACAGAGGTTCACAGTTCCAATCTCACCTCTTCAATGAATTTACCCGCATTTTAGGAATCCATCACATCACTACAACAGCATACCATCCAGCAGCGAATGGACTAGTGGAACGATTCCACAGACAACTAAAAAGCTCATTGATGGTACAGCCTGATGTTTCTAGATGGAGTGAATCTCTACCTCTTATTTTACTAAGCATACGTTCCACAATTAAAGAAGACCTACAATGTACTCCGGCACAGCTCGTCTATGGAGCTAATTTAACCTTACCGGGGCAGCTAGTGACGCATAATGGCAAACCCGTATGTACGGATCCCACTTCTTTTTGCGAAAGACTAATGAGTCATATGAATAACATTAAGCCTGTTGCACCTCGGCCAGTTGTCTTAAAAGAGCAAGTTAGCAAGCATCTAAATACGTGTAAATTTGTATTTGTTCGTGTTGACTCCGTAAGACGCCCTCTACAACATCCTTATGAAGGACCATTTGAAGTAGTTGAGAGGCAAACAAAATATTTCACAATCAATAAGAACGGAAAAAAAGAAACAGTTTCGATCGACAGGATAAAACCTGCTTTTATAGAATCTGAAACACATGACAGCCGAAAGCCGTCTAAAGACAGCGGTGATCACACAACGCAGCTTCCAGTGTTTCCAAATAATTCTTCACCAACTCCGACGAAATCAATATTCGGTAAAACAGACAGTTCTAAGGTTACAGTTCCCACAAATTTAAATCCTAGTTCCGACACTTTAACCTCTACGAAAACAACTCGTTCAGGAAGACATGTACATTTTCCTAAACGTTATGTTGAATTAATTACTTAATCTTTATTCTGTCATTACCTGTAATATGATTAAATATCTATGTTAGCAGAGTTACTAATACCATTTTTTTTGCAAGCATTTTTTTTTCTAAAAAAAATTCTTGTGTACTACTAATATTGATAAATTCATTGTGTTTCTCTCTACATGTGTATGCGTTTTATATGATGTTTATTATTAATTGTGCAAATATATACAATTTCGTTGGACTCGTTCAGATTATCACTAATTGTTTACACAATTTATACATGTATTTACACTTTTCGATAAACTATCAATTTAATTACCGTTATTACTAATGATATTATTATTATTGTTATTATTATTATTATACACTCCGTTATTGTTGTTAAACTTTTTATATACATTAAAGTCTCTTTACTACAAGACAAACATTTTGTTCTTAGATATATATACACGTATTATTTTTTTTTTAAAAAAAACACATTTGTTTACCCTTTTCGTTCTGTAATTTTCTCCTCCCTCCAAAGCATTTAGAGTTTTACGTCGGGCATACTTTCACTGACGCATGCCCTAGGGGGGGAGTTATATGGTGACATATATTCAGTGATTTTTGTAACAACAAAAATAAAAACCACATTTTTTCTCTAATTTGTCACATCTTATTTGTAACCACATTATTATTCAATATCTGTTGTTTTGCTTTATCACTTGTTAAAAAGACGATAATTTTTGTTTCGATGAATGATATACGATACTACTAACGCGTTGTTTAAAATATAGAACACTATCTACGCCGTTGTTCTTCTGTTTTATTGGCCACCGTTTTGATTGAAGACTATAATAGTATTATAACATCATTATGGGCCTTCCGACTCAACGTTGGACTTTTGGCGCGGTTTACTATTCTATAATACTATTGGACTCCGTCTTCCTCATTAAGTCATTGGTGCAGTCACTTGCAGAGGAACACCTGTCAATCAAGTGAACTCAGTTTGTGGTCGTTGTTCTCACGTGGCAGTTAACAAGTAACATTCATTCTATAGTAACTGTTAGCGTCTGTTTGTTTAATATACCTTTTGTATTGCTAACGGTATTTTCTTACCTTTGTTTTTACTAACGGACAGATATCTAGGTTTCTTTGCCATTAATTTGTTTTGGTATATCATTGTTAACCTAGTGTATCAATATATTTTGTGTAAGCTCCTTTGGTTTGGGAACCACCACAAGATTGCTCGCATTCCCAACTAAATTGTATGCTGTGGAAAATGGCAGCTCATTCAGAAAAGGATAGGGGAGAAACAGCTCCTTGTGACACATATTCTTTAGTTAGCAGAGACGTTGATAACATAAATATAATTGTAATTCTTCAAGTGTTTTGTACGGTATCTTAAAGTTTAACAGTTGATAGGGTTGTTTGAGAACTTAAACCGTTCAGAGGTAGATCTACATCAGTTCACATTTACAAATGTACCTACAACGTCGTCATATCTTTTCTCATTGCTTGATCTATCATAAAATCTTGTGGTGATATTACGCAATCTTCGTGTAATTCATTTAAACAGGACTCTTAAATTGCAATTGTGCCACAATTTTGATAAATGTTTGAACTTAGCAGGAAGTGGAGATTATCTTACTAATAGATTATCTGCAGTTAGAAGTTAGCAATATAGGACTCGACAAGCGATTGGTGCCCTTTTTTTCAACTGACATTCCCAGCCACCACTTTGACTTTGGTTGTACTCTTTTGTACCTTGCAAAGCGATATGTCGTAAAATGTTCGTGTACGCTCTTGAATAGGTTATATAATTAACAGGCATAACATTATGTCGAAACAAACAAAAAGATAACTCGTTGACACATTTAGATGAAAGTGACAGATAGTCCATTCAAACAGGTGGCATGTTTGAACTTATAAGAGCGATCAACGACAGTTATTAACCTCGAGGTGTGACTTCTATGTAAGCAAAGAGGTCACATCACTCCCATCTTCCTCGAGTAGACCTCCATTATTGAAACGGATAACCTATCTTTGGTGATCTAAAATGCTGACGCCACACCCTTTCCCATGGAAAAGTATCTGAACATCAGTCTGTTTGATAATGTTTTTTTCTGTTGACATCCCTTAAACAAGAAAGAACATACATTCTTAAGATTTCTTTCCAGAGTAATGTATAGTTCCACCATGAAATCGCTCAAAACTATTTTCGCCACTCACGTAAACTTGACTGGTTAAAAAACCTTTCATCTTTCCCTCTTGCCTTAGAAAGTACATCACTGTGAATTATGTTCGAAGGAATGTAACCAAAGTGGTGTTCGAACTAAAGATAACATCTGTTTAGCTCACACGGTAGCTGTAAGGTTGATGTACCATAACGGTCACAATCACTTTCACTCTAACATATTACTTCCATATTTTAATATTATCTTGCAGCAAGGCGTACGCACATTAAGAAAAGACAAGAACGATTTCAAAAAGTCCACACACACCTATTCATAGAAATATCCGGTAAACTTCGAAAAATTTTACCGGAGTTCATATCGGCAGAGTTGTTTGAAAGATTACGACAATTAATTCAGTATCGTAGTTAGATGGGTTGTTACTGTATGAATAACTTTGGGATTACCTATGTTGTTAAAAGCCATTTTGCCTTCCAGTTTCAAAGTAAACACAATAACAACAACCATGCCTTTTATTATCAAGGGCGTTTCTTTCAACCCGACTGAAGATTCAATAGCTCTCTAGCTCCGTGACCTGAAGTTTGAAGTTCGGAGTGTAAACCACCTCCCTCTTAGATAAGCTATCTGACGCATGTCTCGTGATTTACCATGGTTGTCACATCAGCAACTACTCCCTCTTCCTATTATTCACATCTTCGTTTCCCCTTTTATTCTTAAAATCCCGTCTCCTCATAGTGTCTGAATTACCAACTATTAAATTTATTTACCACTGAAACAATTGTTTTTTCTTAACACTTAAATCACCACTTTATTATTTCCATATCGTAATCGACCAACCTCCTGCCTGGTAATGTGGTAGTTTCTGGTTTCACGAAACCTTACTGTCCTGAAACAAACGCACTCACTCAAATTACAAAGTCTACAAATATCTACTCCACTGACTAGAATTAGTCAAGTTGATTGGCCAGACTACCACAAGTTGCCCATTATCAAGTACCTATAACTGCGACGAAAGAAAAAGAAGCGATTGCAAAGCAATCATTGGGTTTATACAAGCTCGTGAGGAATATATTGGGTATTGGATACGTCCGCACTTACTTTGAATGATCAAGGTCAGTGAAACCAGAAGAGGCAAGTTCTTCTCAATTAATCAATCGGTTTAAATTAATCGCTCGTGCTAACTTACTAATCAGCTCACGCTTTTTGCCTTTTTTATTCAGACACTTCTGGTGGTTCAGTGGGCTCCAACCTCTAAACTCACATTTTTTCAACTGTGTACGTTAGCCTAGAAGTTAACCGCTCGGTATTGAGAATGATGGACTAGCCGTTTCTGCTTCCCCCCAAAATGCGAGATATTGGTAAGAAAAAGTGATTATTATTTGACTGTTGTTCGAGAAGCGCGCTTTTTTCGCTTACAAGCTGCAAACTGGAGATGAATATTTTGAGACGTAAGACTCAGTTACAAATCTCGGGGTTGAATTGGAGCCGAAAACAACATTACGAGAACTTCGAGCTCCAAGGTCTCTGTTCAGTTTGCTCTTTCGACGCTGACTAGGTTCAAGTCCGGATGTTTGAATATGTGGTGTGCAGATGTTATTTTTACTGCCCGGTTGCTCAATCCAAAATATGTTGAACGAGTATAAACCAATTACATACATTGATGTATCGTACCTGAATCATCATATCACGGCTCATAAGGATTCCGTCTTGACTTTTAAGAGAGTAAAGACATTTTTTACCGCAAATATATCTTTGTGTATCCATTCTAAGTAATTTTATTTCCTACCTAGATGAGAACGTTGCTTTTGCCTCACTTTACAATAATCAATTCGGATTAATATTTGGACGTTCTGAGTGAGTTCGTTTCACTTTTTAAAAAAACCTAGATATTTGTTTCCTCAATAAAAACATGTTACCTAAACGCTATTCTGGACTTGTTAAAAACATGGTAAAACGTCTACAGATTCAGGGTAAATACTAGATAGATCAGTCAAAACTACATTCTTGTTTTCTCTAGGCCATGCTCATCCTTAACTTAACTCTGTATAAATTTTAGGAAGATATTTATAACATCTTGAGTGTTAAAAAAATAAATAAATTTCGAAAGTATACCTTTTCTATTCGTTTTATACCTCGAACGGTTTGAAGTAATTAAATGGAGGATAATGTCATTATGCTTATCAAAATAGTTATTGGGAAACATATTCAACAATTGACAGGTTACATAGTGCCTAATAAATGAACCAGCTGAATACTTCTATGACAAGATCTTTACAATGGTCATATAGACGAAAAAAGAATGAGAATATTTTGTAATAAGAAAACGTAAGTTCTGTTTTAAACTGCTCTAGTATGACCTTTTCAGTAACCAAAGTACAGGGGTTTTACAAACTTATGAATATCCGTTCCGATACCTTCACTAATAAGTAAAGAAAGGGTCTGTAAACAATGCGATATATTTGCTGAAATACGGTTGATAACTTGACGAGCCTAATTCATATGAAATTAGTGCCCGGTATCAATCAGCCTTGAATATCCTTCACTCAGCCAGATTGGACGATGCGGTAAACTGAGTTGTGCGCCATATATGATTAATTTAAGAGTAGTTGGACAGATACACCCACGTAAGCAGTAAATTCAGGCCGTTTTTCCTCATTAACGGTTGTCATTATCAGAAAACTGCGAAAAAATCACTGCGTTTGGCTGCGGTAAACGTCTTTGTATATTCTTTCCTAACCCTCGTGTTGGTATCTTATGGTCATCGTTTCGGTATTATGGCTTCAAAAACAGTGAATAGTACTATTTTCTTTGCAGTTTTGTGCCATGTGTAACTTGAATGCGTACCTTTATGTGGATTCATACGTTTCTTTAGTGTTTCCTACGAATGACCATAGAATGAAAAAGTGGGAATTATAGAAACGGCTCGATTCATTATAAAAAAGATTGATCATTTACCGAAAACAATATAGTCGATTTGTCCACCTTCCTCACATACCAGCCATTGTCTGTTAGTCTTGTTACTCATAACTGCCGTTCTGATCTTCTAGTCTTAAGCCCTCAGTATATCACTTCAATCATTCATATGTTTATCGTGGCTTTCTGAATTTCACTATAAGTAGTAGAGGACAAACAGGTTGACAGTAGGCCAATTAATTCCATCTGTTTTGTTCCTTCTCATAATGTCTTTTACTATGAGGTCATCATACTCATATCTTTCTCGATATTTGAACCCTTCTTCTGCTTTTCCAATCAAGTATTCGCGAATTTATATTTCCAGCATATGTTTGTTTTATCCGTTTCAGTAGCCACAGCCACCACTACTATTTCTTGTTATTTTTGAAGAAGCTCCTGATAGCATTAAAAGTATGATGTTCCTCGGATTCTTACTATACATTTTAAAGCACTGACTGCCTCTGACTAGTTTAGATTCAAATAATAGATTAAATGCAAGTAACCCATCATATCACCTGTGCACAAAGTTATTGACCAGTAATCTAACTCCTACAAGATAAAATGTGATAGTTTTTATTGTTTATTTATTTATACACCTAAACATTCGTACAAGAAGGCACCAAATTTATTCCTGTTCCTCTTATTATGAGCTTATTTTGACCTATGAACTGTTATTATACCATTTACCATTCTTGAGTTATGCCCTGTCTATCGAATGCTACCCCCCCCCACATTCACAGCCACAATTGGCTAAATCTTGTAAAAATGTTGTTTCCTATTTTATGTTACGATGTGGTCTATTTGGTTGCTATATAAACCCCGTATGTTTGAAATACATGATTCATATCACAGAGTCTGAGATTGGCGTTCTAGACTTAACAGGCAGGGCTAGGCGGGAAGCAGGATCGCTAAGGACTCTAGACTGCTCGCATAGTTTTTATGCGTCATTGGTCCGGTCGATAATTCACTGTTCCCTAATTGACGGTATCTTTACGTCATACATTGATAGGGGCACAAACCCACAAGTTATAATAGTAGCAATATCTTTTTAGAAAAAGGTAAATATATAGCCTGAATAGAATTATGTCGCTAGAGGAAAATAATTTTTCATGGAAGGGTAACAGACTCGTGTTTATAATGCGTACTAGTAAAGTTGGATTAGGAATATGAAGACCCTATTGTTAACCAAGGTGAATTACGGGACTGGATTTATCCGTCTTTTACATGTCAGGTTTCCCTTAGTTCATACGAAATACTACCACTATGTTGATTATGTTTAATGGTACTCATTTGGGCATATTAATTGGGGCCTGACTGAAAAAAACATGTTCATCCTCAATATGTCATCAATTTTCGATTAGTTGGGAAACAATCACAATTTATAGACCTAGTGATGTCTTTCTAACCATGCCGGTACGTGTTCTTGAGTTTGCAAGAAAAAAGCTCTTTGGTTGCTGTTTCTATCGGAGCATTTAGATTGTTAAACACAAAGATGAGCTGCTCATTGGTATCTTATGCTTCGTTTGTTGTATCAGTATTAAGTTAGTTGAGAAGGCAAATATTGATGCAGAATAGTATGAATTCATTTCGAGGTTTCTCGTCAGCTGCCCACAACCAAATATGTATTAGAATTTAACATTGAGGTAAGAAATAGTGTGAAACACTTGACATAATTGAATGTAAATAAGTGGAATGACAAAGGTTATCAATAACAACTAGATATATGTACAAGAACAGGTCAGAGGTTATTTGATGTTAGAATCAAGCAGACATTAAGGATGGGTGGTGTAATAGTTGAGTGGAGTTCAGAGACAGATAAGATAAATTGTGATAATTTTAGAGGTAACGAAGGATGCATGAAATAAAAAACGGATAAGATGGGTTGCGTAATAATTTGATAGAATTTGAAGAGTTCACATAATTTAAGAGGATCAAGTGAGCAGAAATGTCTGAATGAAAGGCTGGTTTAAGAATTCTGTAGTGTGAGAGGAATATAACACAAACTAAATATTTTACGAAATAAATACAATAACACTGATAAGCAAAAAACAAAAAAATTGGATTACCAGGGTAATAATAAGTTTATTACTGTCTCTTTTTGAATACATAAATCCGATTTAAGTTTTTTTTATCGCAATCGCTTCAGCAAAACGAAGAACAGCCGTACTTCTTTGTCTGCTAATGATTTTAAAAGCATGCGGAATGTCGATGGTGTGCCTGGTGTCAATTAAATGTTGAGCTATTGCACTATTGAGAGCCCTAGTCCCTCGCAGCCTCAATTTCTTTAGAACATGCTCAGAAATGCGAACATGTACTCTTCTCTCAGTTCTTCCAATGCATACATCAAATGTTTCATACTATTTATTACTTCAATTTTAAATTCTGATACATATTTGGTTGTAAGCAGCTGAAGAGAAACCTCGAAATAAAATGGATTCATACTATTCTACATCAATATTTGTTCTGGCTTTATTTAAATTCACGAAAAGAACTAATTGCATGAAATTTTAGTGTTCCATTTTTGTTGAATTCCTTGTCTTGTGTCGTTGAAAAGTGTAGAAACCCAAACTGACTCTATTCCATGTAGCGTTTCATTTTTTTGCTTGTGTAATAATGTGAATAAATATAAATGTAACAAAATTTATGAAGCTGAGGTGTATTCACTAAGATTACCTGCCATAAAGATAGAGTTGCTAAGGCATTCATTTAAATGGTTTTGTAAATTTAATCAGTTTGGAGACTTCTAATTATAACCAGAATCCCATTGGTTCACTGAAAGATACACCCAAAACTGTTCAATGGTAGTTCTCCACTTCGATGCCCCTTACGTCAAACATAGTATACCACTAATTGTTATGTACTGTTCAGTTGAAGAAATTAAGAACTTGATGACTGCAACAGCAGGTTGTTTTCAAATTTCTTTGGTCATTTGTAGTCATTTTGAAATCAAAGCAGTTTTCAAACAGTATTTTGTTGTCTGTGGCATTTACTGATATTTGTAGTGTCAGTATGTTAGTATACCCGCATAATTTTGAATAAAGTAACTATATTTTGTACTCTCTGCTAGAAGTATTAATTTGGCAGCTTCTACCTCTGTGATTGAAGGACTTCCTGATGAACAGAGGACATCTCCAGTTCGACGCACATTTCTGCTTGCTGTTCTTTTCGACATTATTCTAAGTTTTATTCTGTGGATTATATATACTAAAGTAAGAACTAGCTAAATTTTCGTCATTATTTGTGATTCAATTAAAAGTTTGCATAAAGTTTCCTTGTTCAGCAGTCATTTCATTCGTCTCCCCCCTCATTAATATAAAGGTCAAAAAACAGCTAGACCATCTGTTTCTACTTAAAATTAGCAATGTTTAGCCACTCATGTCAAATTGAAAAAAGCCTCTGTAATGTTAGTGCATAGTTTTATTGTAAGATTATGTCCGGTTCACTTTACTCCGCCGAGAATGTAACCTTTCATCGAAATCACATGCCGCAGTTTCAAATATCTCACAAACAGTTAAAGTAATGTAAAGTACGACAACATTCAATTCTGTTGTTTGACTGTTATACATAACGTTTATTGTTCAATACATGAAAAATTACTAGTGTTTGATTATCTCTTGATTAAGAATTTTGGTCTCATCTCATAAAATCGTTAGGTAAACATTACCAATGTAGTCTATTGTAAAGAGTAGGGTTACTAAGCCACTTTTCAGATATTGGTTTGTCAGTACTAACTGAGACGAGAAAAAATGCAACGATTCGTAGTAGTTAGATAAAATATAAGCGCAAGCCATGAGATATTGGTTAGTCTGAAGCATATAGGAATGTGTCAGAAATTACTGTTTTATCATTAAGTGGACGAAATTAGTTACATGTTAGTTGCAAAATGATTGTATGATATGTTGGTCACTGCTTTCACACTATTTCTCTCGGTTGTATCTATTTGAAGTTAAATCATCTGTATTTGTAATTGTTTTTAACGTTTCATTTGTAGTCATTTTAAGTTTTCTAATATTTTAGTAAGGTGATCTAAATTATTCATTTCATGTTTACTGATAAACCAAAAATTAATATAATATTTCGGTTATTGTTGATTGATGAATCAATCTTTTAGCCAATCATCATTTTAATTCCTTTTCATTACTGTATTGGTTTCAGCAAACGTATCCCCTCAGTATTGGTGATGCAATGTTGGAAGAAATAAAAATTATGATTTCTCTAAATCACTTTTCGATACAGTTGTGAGTATTTTCTACTAGGATTTAACTTTATCTATGAACAGTATTTTAAATTTCAAGCTTCATTCTATGTTTATGTCTACTAACCGCTTTTTTATCTAGCCCGATTTACTGTAAACAGGTTGTGTACTGTTAGCTAAGAGCTAGAAGTTGGTTTTTAATGGAAACAGGTAAGCGGAGCATGTATTACCTATGTTTACCTATCTCGAGCTTTCTAGTGCTAATTAAAATGAGACGTTTTTGTGAGGGAAAGTTTTACGTCATTCTATCCATTTACTGAATTGAGATTGGAATTTATTGTCAGTTATGGATTAGTAAATAAAAACTTAAACCACCGATCATTTCTGTGGTAGATTCACAGGTAGGTGTTTTAGTTGAAGTTTATGAAACATAGGAAGATTAGTTTCTTTACACTGTGTTGCCGTCAATTACAGTGATATGAGTTCATTTGTTCTTCATGCTGATGCTATTAATCGACACACTATTTAGTATTCGACTGTTTCTGTTATTAATTTTTATTCATCAATTGCATTCCTCCTAATTTGATATTATTATTCTTATCAATATTATTATTACTGTTATTGATGTTCTGTCCTTGGTTTCGTTTTGTGTTGTTTTGGATGCCACTGAATCAAGTTAACAAACATTTCGTCCCATGCCTCTCTCTGTTTTGTCTGGTGATTTTATCTTGGGTCTCAAGTACTTCACTGAAATGTAGGATTCTCAATATATATATATATATATATATATATATATATATATATATATATATATATATATATATATATATATATCCACTTGTTTATTCAAAGATTAAATTCTTCTACTTTCATTAAAGATTAGTTGCAAAACTGCAAAATCCAAAGTTATAAGATTTTTCAGAAATTACATACTCGTATTATTAAACATACAGATTATTTGTTACTTTGTTAATATTAAGTAACTATGAATTACTTTTACTGGTTAAAAAATTTACCTTCTAGCTTGAATTGTTTGTTTTTTGTTATTGGTTGTCTTGACAATTCATTGCTTTGAAATTATTGTATTCATTTTGATGATTGGGTTAAATGTCCCCACTTTTGCCCAGTTAAAATCCTAGTTATAACCGTCTGAATTCATTATTTATTTCCGATAAAAGGAATGAATTCTCTTTGGACTAGCTACTACTAACACCGAACTAAGACAAAGTCCTTTTCATCTAGCCTCAACTAGTCCACAAGATAAAGTCCACTAGTGACGAGGATTTGTAGATCGTCCACAGGTTGTCTTTACACAGTCATTGTATATAAATGTATTTCCATGTCTTTAAAAGCACTGTAATAAAACACAGCATTTAAAGGTCAGCAAAGCAGTAACATCAAAGCGTCTTTAACTCTGATAAAACGAATACACTGTATTAGGAGTAGTATCTATTCGGTTTGTTGACTTGTACTGATTAGCCGAAGACTAGTCAGTCAGCATTTTCAGATTTCAGCTTGGATTTTCTATCAATCTGATTATAGTCTTGCTCGATTGAAGTAAATGATTCTACAGTGCGGGCAATCGTTTCTTCTGACTTATATGTTAAAATGTGAAATATCACCGGTTCAATCTTTTAGGCAATGTCACATGAAAATCACTTTTAGACTGGTACCTATAAAAATTTATCACAGTGAGTGTTGATTTATTAATGTATTGTTAGGTTAGACACACAAATAATCTGTCTACATCATGGTAGCATAACGTGTAAAATCTTTCATTTTATAAATCCACCAACACTTAATGGTTGAATTCAGAAATATTGGCTTTATGAAATTAGATCTTACTAACTAAAAAGATTTATTATTATTATTATAGACTGCAAATGGTATTCTCCCATTACTATACTAATAATTAGTACTTGTTGGGTGACAATTATTAAATGTCTTTAGAAGATGACTCAAGTCATAACTCAATTTCAACATTTTATCTTATCATGCTGAGCCATCTTTTCCCAATGATGTTTTCCCTATCTATCTTTTGATGAATACTTAAGCCATTAACAATCAAACGATTATTAAACTTTCCTTGTTTAAAAGTTTTTTTTTAATACCTTCGTTCATTTAACTTCATTGTCACCATGTCTAACAGTTTATTATCAGTATTATTATCATCCTGTATAATAAGTATATATATTTGCGATTGTACAGCCTTGAAAATGAATTCGCCGAAAAGAGAACTCTTCACTGAACTAGTTATTCTTATTTAAAATCAGTTAAGTCGTAATGTACTTAATAACAATGTTGATCTAAACAGAGATGGATGGTGGCTAGCAGTGTAGTCAAGGACGCGCGTTTTGTCCTATTTGAGACTCGTCAGCGGAATGTTACTGCAACCCAGAGTTGTTGTTCACTCTGGGACTCGATAACTTTAAGTAATATTTCCTATTTGTTGTAATAATATTGTGAGTATATATAAAGCTTAAGGTAATACCAAACTTTTTAATCACTATAACCGGCAAATAAAAAAACTGTTAAATGTTACTTAAATTATTACTGACATTATTTTTTGTAACGACTCTATCGGAGTCATCTATTTTATCATTTCTCCTGAATGAACTTTAAACATTTGTATTTCTTTTCTTTTTTATGATCAATTTTTTAAGTATATTTAATCATGCATAATTTGACTAACTTGTTTGAGTTAAATCCTGCAAACCAGTGGGGAATGACATACATACTCAATGATTTCATAAGCGTTTCACCTTTCAAACACCATAAAGTCTGATGTTTAGTTAATTCTATCCACATGTCGATTTATCTCGTGCATATGACTCAAATTATGTGTAAAATTGGTTTGCTTCATTTCAAAAGTATAATAAATGCCTTGTGTTTTAGCATCCCTGTTTCATGCCATAACCATTGTAATTGTAGGTGTCGAAATTTGAATCAACTAAAAACTGTTAAGGATATTTGTATTTTGTTTAATATACGAGTTTGTCTGTATGACAATACTGAAAACAATAGAAGACTGATATGAGTTTCAGTAATTTATTGAAGTTAACGGTGTTAAATTGAATCATGTAATTTAGTTTTATTAAAAAGAGAACCTATATTTAGAGCTATTTAAAGGATTAATGCCTAAACCATCTATTATTTTGAGACTTGAACGGCTCTCATAAATTTTAGAAGAACAATCATCTCATAATTTTTGTACTGTAAATGGTTGAGTATGAAATTCTAGTCGAAAAATTTATGGTCGTTAATGACAGTGTTCTGGAACTTTTAAAGTGTTTACTAAGATATGCAAATTAAATAGTGAATAATGGTCTATCTCTTGATTACTTCATCCCCTTTCTATACTTGATTTGGAAAACGGATAGATCAAGCCAAGATTGAAAGTTGATAACTTTATAATAAACTAATTTGACTGTCGACCTTATGTCTCAGATTCCAACATTACTTTTAGTAAATCCGTTCACCTACAAATTGTAGAGGTATTTACCAAATTAAGCATCTTGAGAATTCTCTCTTAGGTTTTTAGAGTTTAAAAATATTTCTGTGTAATGGTGCTAATAAATGTAAACTAGTTCCAATACCTGTATTCAATTAGACATAAAGGACCTTGTTTTAAACAGAACATTCAGTAGAAGTTCTAAGTTTGCGTAAAGCATAATCAAAGTTTGAAGTTTCTTCGTACTCGTATACTTAAGTATTCATGTCCACTTTAAATCTACTTAGTGGAAGTGGTAGAACTGCATGCGTTTATGAAGAATTATTGATTATCCAAAATAAATATGCCCGACTACTATTTGCTGTTGAGTCTTGGGATATTAGCTTAAGGTTTATGTTCCCAGTTGGAATATGTGCCTCCTATGCGAATCACTTCGATATAGCCATTTTGTCACATGTTATTTTAGGAGAGATAAATTATGACTAGTAGTGGGATCCAAGTCTCGTGCTTTGCCCTACTTTGAGACCCGTCAGTTGAATATTCCTGGCTCCTAGTATCAATATTCACACCGGCACTCGAACTCAGTACCTTTTATTTCAAGCGTTATGATCGGAGCCACTGAATCAAGGTATTCGCCAGCTTGTGCAACAGGTACATTCAGCTAACTAGTTCCAGAGAGAATTAAACGCATATCCTGTATTCCACTACTAGCCACAATTCATCTGTTTTAAACGATAAATTATTATCTTTGTATATATTTTTATTAATATTTTGATTGTTTATGTAGACTGCATAGTTCGTAAGTATTTTTGTTTATTTTATAAAAATTACCCCACCATCACAATGTCGTTTGGTTATGTTTTCGCTCATTATTCAATTTAGATGTTATCAGCTTTCCGGTTTATTCTTATGGAAATAACTTATGGCGTAATTCAAAGTCGCACTCCATGGTGGTCCGCTGTAAGTTTTCTGTTTTCACCTATACATAGATCTACAAATTGATATTTTAATTATTGATAACAAAACGACTGAGATGCATTATTTTACAAACGTATGAGCCATTAAAAAAGTTGAAACATTTTTTGTGAAGAACTGAGGATAAACTATTTAATGACAGTAAATATAAGGATGCTAATTGATGATACAGTTCATATAATAATAATAACACAGGCACCGTTAATTTTATCTCGAAGAATGTACAACTGTTCGTATACAACTGGATCATAACTGGCTTATTTTTTTAGAGCCACGAATAATAAAGTTCCATACAACTAACTAAGTTGCATGATCTCTAAGACGCCATTAACTAAGTCGTAATAAAATAACGGATGTTGATTAAACATAAACATTCTTTAATTCCACGGTACACTATAACAACTTGTCCGGTTCCTCATGTTTGGTATTTATTCCTAGAGATGGCGAATATTTCTCATTACAGGGAGCCTCTGGGACGACACACCAAACTATGTCAAGGGTGACGACATCAGTTATTGAAAATGATCATTAAGGTAGGACTAAATACCTCTTACAGTTATGCCACACAATCTGAGTAATCTTTCGAAGATAATTGTAATTTAATATAGATAGTTACCGAACGTCATCAGCTTACAAAGACAAGATTTTAGAAGTATTGAACAAACTGCTCACATCGATATATTATACTCTTGGCACTCCATAAGCAGGTTACCTTCAGTCAGTCAGCTACAACGTAGGACCAGGCACATATGTGCATCGGTCCAAGTTGCCATACCTCATTAACACAACAAGATGAACACCGGATTCATGAAAGTAGTTAATTCAGAGGTGGTAATATATAAAAGATTGCAATAAGGATATAATACAGAAAGAAAGAATTAGTTCGTAGAAAAAAAGATATGAAGTGATTTTAATCTCATAGTTTAAGGGAAGACAGAGCGTGTATACACCGACGCTATTGTGATCGATTCTGAGCCATGTCACAAATAGTCTCCAACCATTGGTTACGATAGTCACACGGACCCCAAACAAGTAGTCTGCATCTACCAACATGGCTCAGACTAGAAGTTAGTGTCTTCAAGCACTGATGCCACGTTTTGGTTTGGCCACTCCTAACTTTCGTCCAACCATTTCAACACCGGTTAGCGTTGCACGTCGTGGTAATCGGTGTTCAGGCATACGTAATACGTGGCCCAACCATCTCAGTCGATGAAGATTCATAACCTCATCAACTGATTTACCATCATTCCCTAATACCCTGCGTCTAACCTCACTATTACTTATCCGGTGATCCCAGCAGACGCCAGCAATATTTCTAAGGCATTTGTGGTCAAATACTAGAAGCTTACGAGTGTCTTCTACTCTTAAAGGCCATGTTTCGCTGCCGTAAAGTAAAACAGAACGAACTGCCGCGCAGTATACTCGTCCTTTTATTGATAGATGGATATCTGGCCTTCGCCAAAGGTGACGTAAGTTGGCAAAAGCCAAGCGAGCTTTTCGAATCCGTGCTGAGATTTCGTCCGATACCAGCCCATTAGGGCTGATCAGACTTCTAAGATAAGTGAAGTTGTCAACGCGTTCGACTACTTCACTTCCTATCCTTAGTTCAGGTATTGACGCAGACCAGTCCTGAAGCAACAACTTGCATTTCGAGGGAGAGAAGCGCATTCCAAACATTCTGGCATTGTTTCTTAGTGCTACCAAAAGACTCTGCATTGTATCAGCGTCTTCACCAAACAGGACTATGTCATCTGCCTGCGTATTCTAAATCGGTACGTAGACCTCCTGGAAGGAGATCAATAACCGAGAATTCAGTAGACGAGAATGTTATTTCCATCAGTAGATCTATGATGAAGTTGAACAAAAATGGAGAAAGTGGACAGCCTTGACGGACACCACTTGAAGTTGCAAAAGTAGATGACAGTTCGCCATAAGCCCTGACTCGACTGGTAGTGTTCGAGTAAAGAGCCTTCACAAGGTTTATGTACTTCTGGGGTACGCCTTTCAATGACAGACACTGCCACAGAATCTCGCGATCTGCAGAGTCAAATGCTGCTTTTAGGTCGAGAAAGACCACCATTATCGGGCGCCGATAATTATGCCTATGTTCTAGAATCTGACGAATGGTGAATATGTGGTCGATGCAGCCACGACCATGGTTACCTTCACAATAACTCCGAGGGTGCTCTAGTTTTTCATCATTTCCAACTGCTCACCATAAAGTATAAATGTAGACACGATCTTAATTAAAATGGTTTTGAATCTTTTTGAAGCTTCAAAACACGTTGACTATTAATCTGATCTACTATGGACCAGAATTTTGTAATCAATATTTACACTAAAATACTTCATCAGTTATTACTTATTCTTAAACTAATATATTTATTTATTCATATTAATTGTTAAATTTCTCATTCCTTGATCTTAGATTTCTACTGGTTTAACAAGTTTAATTCTGGTTGTTAAATGTTTCATTTTTAATGTAAGTACTTATGTTCTTATTATTTCTCATAAATAAACTTTTATTATTCAATCACATTTTATTCTCTTGTTATTTATGTGTTTATTTGTATCAATAAATTTAGTTGCTAAATTTTACCATTGATAAAGATTAAATGTTTAGAATCAACTTTTGATCATTTGAATCTTATCAATCACATTCATGTAAACATACTTCATTTCAATGATTAAAAAGGACCTCTCAATTATTATTGATAACAAGATGAGTTTTTATATTGAAGAAGACGACAAGAATGTTTTTTTAACAATAGACTGTACGATATTGAGTTAGTATATTGAAACAGATTGAAACTGCAGTTTATTTCAAGTCACTAAATTTTCAATGAGAAATTATACAAGATTAAAAGTGGAGAAAACCTAAATGGAAATAAAATTGTATTTGAAGCGGTTTATTGTGGATATTATAGTAATTTTAATAGTTGAGATCATGAGTTAATTTAAGCTAGACCACAATGGAAAACTTGGAATCACTGGGCGACCGTTTTGTTCCATTGTAGGACTCCTCAGCAGTACGCATCCACGATACCGCCTCGCAATATTCGAACCCAGAACCTATTGGTCTCGCGCGCGGACGCTTACTCTCTAGAAGCAGTAACCAGTGGAGTTCAACCGGGTCTGTTGTGAGATAGTAACTCACTGAAGATAATGGTGCATGTGTTGCTCAATTTCGTGGATTAGTTGAAGTTAGATATTAACACTATTGCGTGTCGATTCAGTGGTTTAGAAGTTAAGCGTTCACGCGCGAAATTGAAGACCCTGGGTTCGAATCCCTCGAGCGGTATCGTAGATGTGCATTACTGAGGAGTCCCACATTGGGATGAAATGGCCGTCCGGTGCTTCCAGGTTTTCCATGATGGTCTAGCTTCAATTGGTTCATGAGCTCAACTATTAAAATTGTATTTGGTATTTTATATGCAGAGAATCGAGAGCTAGCTAGTTAAATGTTAACAGTTTAGGAAACAAATGATATAAACCTTTGTATCATATAAAATAACTGTAACTTCAAGGAAATTCATATCTAGTACCATGATACGAATTTCAGCTTAGTCATTTTCAAGTCTTTAGTGTGTATGTGTTTATAAAAACTTCAAATAGTAAGTAGACCAAGTCATGCCATAAGCTGCTTAATTTATTGATCATTAGAAAAAGCATGCATATATTGTTTGATGAGAGATATCTTCCAATTAATAATAGCACATGATGAAACTAATAAATGATTGTGAGAAGTATATATAATTCCTTGCAACACTGAACTAAAACATTTTATATGCTTTTCTCAAACCTCATTTGTAAAAACTACATCTCAACACATAAAGAGTAAACGTTATAGGATTAAACAAGTTCATTTCATCCCATAACGTTTATTTTTCCTACTTCACAAAAGTTAGTCAAAAAAACTAATTTTAATCAGTCTGATGGAAGGTTTGTTTTTAATGTAACTCATATGTGATATGTTCTGCATTCGTCCAATTAGTTACTGATGTATAGTTCCTATACTCAAACCTTACCTGATGTGTAATTGAATATACTGAACTAGAGAGCTGTATATTCAAGCCAAACTTTTACAGGTTATGTAAATAACTTCAACCAATAGTAGACTTTTTTTAGCATTTCTCACTTATCGTCGGGCCTTGAACTAGCATCTGTTCACAAACATGTGGTATGTCTGGATCGACCATTGTATCAGTTTACCAAGTACAACTTCATGTACTCACTTCTCAGCCACATTGTTTGTGTAAAAGCCATTGATATTACTCGTATGTTTGGACTGAAGTAAGAGGAGCGAGTTTCTAATTCCTACAAATTATCGTTTATATGTTAAGTACTTTTTTATCATGCACTTTAAATTTATCTCTAGCATCTTTACATCACTCTAGAACTGATCAACTTTAATATTTTATTTAAATTAATATGTTATGAATAATTTGTAAGACTACGAAAAGTAACTAAGCTAATGAATTCTTTCTTTCATAAAATTAACCTAATGATCATGGGTTATCTGGTTTTAAAAGCTGGTTCATATTCTTGCTTACAGTCAAGAAAGTTTTAGAAGTGCAAGTTACCGATGTAAATTATAAAATACATCTCATTATCCGGTCCGTGGCTTTAACCCTGTCATTATCTAATTTTACCAGTGTTTCAAGCTCAAATGGTAAAGATATGTTAAAAAGAACTCATTTAAGAACTTAGATTTGTTTAACTGTCTATCTTAATTTATATCAAGAAGTATTATAGATTTAAATTTCAGATTGAAAATTTTCAAACGATACAACAAACATTAAACAATTTCAACTTCAGTAAATAATATTGAAGAGGAAAAATTCACACATTTCATTATACTGTCGTCCACACAAAGTCATTCATTAGTAAGCATACATAGCGTGCATGCATGAATTGAAGGCATCCTATTCTACACATGTTCTGTCGAATGTGTTCAATGAAGTAGCTGTTGCGTGTAAAATGTATCTCTAAAGGTAATCCCGGTTTTTAAAGATATTAAGTAATTGTGTTTACCTTCATATTCAAGGGGGATTGAATTAAGTTGAAAAGTTTTTTAAATGTTAACATGTTAGCTACCTATGAACACTTAATATTGAATATCTTACCAAATAAATCTGTTGTTCACACTTTTTCTCTTCTTTTTCAATCCCAGTTTCATCAAAGGACTCCAGATAATCAGGGTCTAGCGTATGCTGTTTTAATCGCATCATTAATCATTTCATGGATTGAAACCACCTTCCTAATTTATCGCGTCATTCCTCAAGAAAAAGCTGCCAATCGTGGTACGTCGTAGCATAGTTATGTTATGTATTGGACTTTGATATCGGAAATTATCATTACAGTGTGTAGAACGTACATTCTATTTTCACCTATGTGTGGTGAATTTCATCAAAGTACCATTGCACCAACCAATGGTAAAATAACATTTTTGTGGATAGTAGAATGTCTGGAATTTAAGCAACTGAAGCGCTGTTCCACATCCGCACCTGAAGTGGCATTCCGTGACATATCTTGAGACGTAGACTCCTATATGAGCTACCAGTCCATTCCAGTTCTACTTTTTCAGATGTCACTGAGAGGGGGTTGAAACCAGTTATTTTATATACAAACAATAACCTCGATAAGCTAGAAACTAATAATCATATTACATAAGAAGAATGCTTACTTATACTGATTCCCTGAAATATTTCTGACATTTTTAAGATACTCTTTTTATGTAAGAACAGGATACAAGGCTATAATAGGTACATAATCCCCATTATCCCTAAAGCCAGACAGATAAGATCGATAACATCAACATTTTCAAAACAACTTTCTGTACGGAGTAGACAATTCACACTATCAACAAGAAACTGTTTATCAGTATAGGTCGACTTGGTCTCTAGGACTATTTCAGTTACATTTATCATCGTCTTTACAGTTACTTGGTCTTGCAATATTTTGGATACTTACTTCAATATATAATGATCTGTTTCAGTTTCATTCAAACATACTCAATAAAATCAAGAGCTCTCTTGACTTCCTGCAGTGTATTATCATGTACATGGATATATATTTAACAAAATCTAGTTTTTCATCATTACTCACCACTTCGAAAATTTTAAGATATTAGATAATTTATCATTGTCTCTCAGTGTTTTTGGTGTTTTATTCATTTTGTCTGTTTCCAGTTAATACTGTTGTATCTCCGAAGTATTATAGTCTGCACAGCGTATGAGTAATAAAACTCTCTAATCCCAGTGTTGCATCTATTCAGATTACAAACATGTCATATCTTGAAATCACAGTTTTAGAAATAGATGTGTGTATATACTCAAGTGATAGCTACTATATCTAATATTATCATCTGCTTTTGTGGTACTCCATAGTGTGAAAATTTTATAAAGGGATTCTAAACCATTTTGCCTATAGTCTGGTGTGTGCATAAGATGATTCCAAATTGCAGGTTTGGATTATTACAAACAACAGGTCAACTTCTGTGCTGTTATCACTTTTTGCTAAATTAAAGCGAAGGGTAACAGTGTAGATTCTCAGAACTTTTGAAGTTGTTCTAGTTAAGCTCCCGCATTTGCAGCATAAAATTTTTTTATCCCAGATAAATCTGTCATTTACACATTTTTAACTGACTAAATTACTCTTTTGTGACTGATACTTTATCATGCATTTTCCCTATTTTAATTTTATTGCTAAGTCGAATCTGTTTTTTCTTTGTTTGTTTTGTAAGTGAATTTAATTGATGATTGTGAGAAAGTTTTAGTCTAATAACCGTCCAGGAATGTTTATACAAACTGTTTTCAAGTCTTACATGAAAAGAAATGCACTAGTTTATCATTTCATTGATATTTCAAATAACATTCATGAATTGATACTCTCCAGTAGATTAGAAAAACTATAACAAAAGCACTATTTTATCAATGAAGTCTGTTTGTCACTATGGAATAAAGAGGATTACTTCGGTATAATCGATATTTATGGAGACAGTACAATATAACGTAAATATTTTAAGTATTTGTATATTCACTTCAACTTGTATACAGTTTTGTATTCACCCTTTTTTTCCTTACCTCTTAAAGTAACAATGTGTTTAAAAGAGCAGGATGAAACTCGAAGTTTGTTAAGTTCACGACTTGAGAATCGTGTTCCTTGGTATTCTGGTCTTTCTGTACGGTCTATGAGCAATGCAGATTTTTATACACCACAAGGTACATGTGATTTTCTCATTGTAATGCGTCACATTGTTTTTTTTTCATTATAAGTACATTTTATTTACTTGTTGTTTCGAAGATAAAACATATTCTGCTTCGATACCCGGTTATTTTTATCAACAAAAAAATAGTTCAATATCTTTCTATTTAATGAAATCCACACAAAATATATTTTTCTCTACACTAGAGATGATCTACCGAGTTAGATTTAGTTAAGAAACCTTTGGAAATTGCAAAACTTTATATGATCCATAAATGTTAGATACTTAAATACTGATAGAAAAAGTCTGAAATTATAATCACTGACTGTGTTTCCTTTTTTTTCAGTAACGATTCTAAGCTTCTTCAAATTTATAAATTCATTTACCATAATAATTGCTGACAACAGGTTCATAATGGAAACTTAGTACTCCAATGTCTCTTACTTACTGAGTTTGTATAAATCTGATGTGTAATTATTATAACGAGAAATATATTTGGTACAGTTTTTCCATTTCAGTTTGATTTTATGAATAAACAGTTAAAGATGATGTAAAAAGAAAACTAGACGGATAAATATCATTAACATAAATCCTGGCTCAGACTTTTTTAAAACCTATTAGAAATATTATTTTTAGTTTCTTCAATTCTAACTATTCATAGTAATTTTGGATGCATTATTGCAATGCTACAATTATCATACGTTCCGTTATATTGTATTTATCATTACAGGTTCACTATTCGGAGATGAATCACCTGTAAAAATTCCGAAATCGCATAATCTTGAAGCTGCTGTAGATGTAAGTTTTGTAATTAATTTAAACTGTTATAAGTCATTACTTATTAAAGTAAGAGAAAGTATTCACTACTCAAGAGGGAGGTTTTTTCAGTATCTTGTTCAGTTGTAAAACTTACCTTGACTATCTGAACATTTCTATTACTAAATTGGATGTTATTCATCATTTTCATCTGCGTGGAGATCATGTATCTTCTCTTATATCAATGAATATTGAAAATTTTAGACACGAATTCGATCAGGAAAATTTTGAAATCCTGGATCGAAAGAATATTATAGTTTACTTCAAGATTAATTTATGTACAGAAAACAAGTTTATTTATAGATTTGTGGATACCCTTTACTTTCTGGAAGTCTCTGGAAATATACTACGTTCCGTAGTAATATAAGTAATTATCCAATCAAAATGTTACATCTAATCCTTCATATTTTTAAATGTTTCTGGGAAGTCTCTGTTTGATGATAATTAGACGAAACCTTTCCAGGTCTCTCTGGACTCTTGGGAACTTTATCTATAATATTCTTGAGGACTCCGAACAAGAATTACATCTTTAGTTGCATGGAACCAGCTTAAACTTACACATTCTATGCGTAGCTAAGGTGTCGATATGCCCTACATTTGTTCATGGAGGTTATTTACCTTGAGACGAATGACATGATAGTATTTAGTGATCCCTATATTTTATTAGAGACTGACCTATTCAGACGTAAATATCAACAGTTGGAAAATTCAAACCCGTATAGTTGACGGCGAATATTTACTTTTTAGCCTGCTAGTTAACTTTTATATACTGATTGGTGTACACTATTGAATTGTCCCTTTCAGTCCGTGTATATTGAATACTGATCATTTACTAAGTTGTACATTCGGACATCTAATTTGTATTTCAAGAGCTTCAATTGATTTACTTGATTGGTATATAGAACTAGTTTAGTTGTGTGACCATTCAATTGTTTTATACTCCTATAGTTTGTAATCCAGTTCTGTTTCTCATATTTTCCTCTTAGGTAGCTGCTTTGTTACATCGTACCAATTCTTTACAAACAGAAATGTGGAATTTATACGAAAATGAAATTTGGGGTGATAATTCACCTTCTGTCAATATCAAGTATCCACTTCGATCTGAAGCGTTGCCTAATTATCCTGCTAAGGTTTATCGCCTAGAGGTTGGTTTAAAATTTGTTCGTTCAACCTACAATGAACTTGTTCATGTTTCATCTGAATGTTACGTGAGAAAAAAATCCCTACTACAACTCTCCCTATACCTAATGTGTAAAACGAAATTTCTTTTTCTGTAGCAATTAATGGTAATTTACAGTTCCTAAAATACAGTATTCAACTCTATCTGATCATCTTTCTCAGGATATTTCGGTTTTCGTTGTTCAATATCTAATTACTTTAATTTAGAGACAAACTATTGGAACTTCTCAAAACTCGGTACACACGGGTAAGACAGTTCACGATGTCCTGTTCTTCAGTGACAGTCTTAAAATCCTCAGTCTATCTACATATGCTCTATACTTGCTTGAATAAGTAAACTTATAGGGTTATCTTAAATATAAGTTTACGATCTTATGTTCTTTGCTTATTGCATTAATTCCGATTTGTTATTATTCAAGAGTTACACTCACAAAAATGAAATTGGGTAACTTAACATTGTATTTGATGTGTAAATATATGATCTTTGTCGTACATCCTCGAAAAGCTACATGATCCGATAGTGTTCTCTTATCTTTTATGTTCCGTTATCCAGTTTGTTAGTTTTACAAATTGCTTAATTTGGTCTTATTTTCGTCTTCCATGTTCAATTGATTTCTGAGGACCCAATTGTAAATCTTTGAAATTTACATCTGTTGAAATCCACTAAATATGTCCTTGTCAAGAAGGTTTTCAAACGTGTTACTCTGAACTGAATACAACATTGACTGATATAACTTGGGGTGCGTTTCAGAATATCGCAGCTAATAAAGTCCAAATGGTTGTTACTGTTCAGTTCACTGATAATATGATTACTAGCTGTCACTATTAAAGTGTACCTTATTATGCCAAGTACCTGGTCAATGAGTTAATTAAAAAATGAGAAATAATTATATTTATTTCTTACGTTCATATTGGTCGTTGTACATATAAATGTTTTTGTACTTTTATGTAGGGTTTATTGTCAGTTTCACCGTTTCATTTATTTAATGATATGGTTATAAATGTCCATGAAACGCCTAACTGGAATACTACTCTGACATCCGTTGAGGTTAGTAGAAATTCGCTTATTTTATATAGTTAATTATTTAATGCTCTTTAAAATTAACCAATTAATTCTAGTTTTAACGTTATTGATCTATAGAGTACATTTAATTATTATTATAACTGTTGGATGAAATAAAATAACTTATTTACTAAAATCATCGGTTAAAGGTTAGTTAGTTAATCAGTCATAATCAATGTAGAACCTCGCACATATTTGTATTGGTCCAATTTGCCATTCTATGTTAACGCAACGAGATTAAATTAACAATATACATTGCAAAACATACCGAAATAATATAGTAATAATTATATTGAGAAAGAATAGACATTGAGAATACGGTTTGTGAAGATAGGGTGGAAAAGTATACATGAAGGATACTAGAATTCAAAATTGCCCATGTTCTCTGCCATTTCAACCAACATCTCTAACCACTGGTCGCAGTTATCTCGCGGGCCCCCACCAGGTAGTTCGCATCATCTAATATCGCTTATATCAACAGTCAATCATTACATGAGTTGATACCACGTCTTGGTTTGGTCGCCCCTATCTTTCTTCCGAACTATCTCTGAACTAGTAAGCATGGCTCACTTGAGTTGATAAAAACTTACAATTTCATCAACCAATTCACTACATTTCCCTAGTACCTAACCGACTGTCTGACCACAACATTGCTCCCTCAGTCGTTCGTGAAACGCTAGCAATGCTTTGAATATATATGATTAGAAGCACACGTCGTCGTTTAATTATTTAAGTTCTTATTTCTAATGATCGACTGTCGTCTGTTCATTGTAGCTTATAGCATTTTAACATCTATCAATCAACTTCTATTTATTTATCTTTATTTAAAAAAAAAAATCCGTTATCATCTAATGAACAGACCTGATTCCAGTACCCGCATATTCTTAAATAATTTGGAATGTCGTTACACCAAATTATAATAAAATCTCTCCACTTTTCCATTCATTGTATGTAAATTACCCACATATATTTTTTTACTAATAAATCTAGCTTTTAATTGATGAAAAATTCCCATTATATTAAAAACACAATTGTATGAACGAAGAATATTCTTTTCAATAATTTCTCATCAGGTTCTACAATTATAAATCCAGATTAATGATCTATAAAATTGGTCAGATTTAAGGCAAAATACATCATCATTTGGAAATTGTAATATGTGAATCAGGAATTGTTTGTTATATAAAATAAAATCGTTAATGTTGGGGCTGACTAATATGAAGTGTTAACTTGAATCAGTTTATAAGCGAAATGAAATTGTGAGATAAATTATCAGAATAAATATGGTCAACATGGGGTAAGAGAGAGAGAGAATATTGTGATTACAAATCGGAAATTGCGTAATATGTAAAATAATCAGGTCAAATATAGTAGGTTCAGGGGTGGATATTAAATAAATTCCTCAAAAAGGGTTTATCAAGTGTAAAGACAATAATAATAATAAGTTTGGGACATAAAATGAACATTAATCAGATTATGTCACCACATTATAAGATTGATTATTAGCTAGTTGGCCAGGGTAAAAGGAGAGGCTGAACATACTTCTTTTGGATACAAAGCTCTGGCTTTTTGATCCGAATAGCAATTGCTTCAGCCGTCTGTAGGATTCGCAGTCTGACGGAATTAGGTAGACTGCTGTTGACACGATAAATTATTGCAAAAGATTGCTCCATGTTGGCTGTATGTCCTGTTTGGACTAAATGGTCTAAGATGGAGCTGTTAACAGTTTTGACAACACCTTTGCTTAACCACACGGGTAGGTGCTCACGAGCCCGAATGTACAAATTCCTAGAACATCTGCCATCTCTCTCTCTCTCTTACCCCATGTTGACCATATTTATTCTGATAATTTATCTCACAATTTCATTTCGCTTATAAACTGATTCAAGTTAACACTTCATATTAGTCGACCCCAACATTAACGATTTTATTTTATATAACAAACAATACCTGATTCACATATTACAATTTCCAAATGATGTACTCTGTCTTAAATCTGTCCAATTTTATGGATTATAAATCTAGCTTTATTTAAATATAAGATGATTTTCGTCTGAACGGTTGATAACATCTTTCCATAAACGTAAAATAGATAAAATTCGGGATATCAATTACACTACAGATGTAGTGTAGTAGTACAATTGTGTGTTCAGTTAGATCATGATTTGGCATTGAATGCTTAGCGTTTTATGTTTAATTATAAGACTTGAGATGAATAACTATCTACAAACAAAGATACATAACAATGATCTCAATTTTTTGTACGTTTTTAGTGTATCCAAGCTTTGGCTTCAGAGAATATTGACATCATACACAATATGGCTAAAGAGGCTGTCGGAGGTTTAATATCTGCCAGGTTAGTTGATCGATTATGATCGTATACTTTTCAAAATGAGTTTACCATTCATGAATAATTCCATGATCTAAGACGACTAATGTGGATAGAGTGATATGACGGCTAATATTTATTTAAAGATTTCAAACAATGTTTCTCGTCAAAATTGTAGAGAAAATTGTTTTATTTTTAATAAGAATTCGTTAATGATTATTCATTTTTTTTACTCCCGTTACCCTTCGTGGAAGATCATAGATTGCCCACCAGCATTCTCCATCAAACTCTGTCCTGAGAAGTCCTTTTCAGTTGCTATTCATCTTTTGCTGTCTTCTTACAATTCTCGACGTAGCGTTTTCTTTGGTTTTCCACTTTCCCTTTTCCCCTCAGGATTCCAAGCTAGCGTTCGCCTCGTGATGCAGTTTGATGATTTCCTCAATGCATGCCCTATCCACCTCCAACTTCTTTCCCTAATTTCCTCTTCAGCCGGGATCTGGTTTGTTTTGTACCACAATAGGCTGTTGTTGATGGTGTCCGGTCAACAGATATTGAGTATCTTGCGTAGTCAGTTGTTTATAAATACTTGCACTTTTTGATTATGGTTGTGATAGATCTCCAAGTTCACAATTGATTGGTCACTGGGTGGTGATCAATGTCATGCTTGTCTAGTCCTTATTATTGCAGATCGAATGCTATCGATCATGTTGCAATGTGGCCACCAATCTAGGTGACTCGACACTAATCTCAATACATAGTGCCTGGACTAGACAAGCATGACATTGATCACCACCCAGTGACCAATCAATTGTGATTACATCTCAGTCCTACAGGAGGTTGGTCACGGCTCGGATAGCTCAGTGGTAACGTCTCTGACTGTGAAGCTGGGTGAAACGAGGTCGAATCCGCCAGAGAGCACCAGTTCCCTCAAGATTACAGGTAAACCTTGCTGACGAGTGCCAAGTAGCACGAAACCCGGGTCCAGGGTTTCCTGTTGACTACCTCCAACCACCATCTAATCTCCAAGTTTCAGCTCCGTATATTAGAACTGCCTTGATGTTAATATTGAAGATTCTGGTTTTGATGTTGGTTGGCAGTTGTTTTGAGCTGCATATGTGCTTCAACTATAGGAATGTCACTCTTGATTTACCAATTCGTTTGTAGTTCTTCTAGGGTTACTACAGGTCCCAAGGCCGGGTGAAGGAGAAGGGTTGAGCATGGGTTCAGCAACCCCATTCCATAGAAAACAATCTTTCTAAAAAGCGCTAACCAGAATAAACAATATTTAGCCTAACTCGTGTGTTAATACCCATATTTTTCAAATGTTATGCAATCACAATTTATAACTCTGTGCATAAGGGTTTGTATTTACCTGTCATGGATATTCAAAACTTAGTTAATCAATCTCTATTGGCAATTAGTCTCCTGAATCGATGTTTTGATTTTGCCTGCATTTACAAGTTGATCTTATTTAGTATGATTACTTGTAGTTGAATCTAAAACATTCATTTCGTCCTATTTGGTATGTGTCTGTTTATTATAACCACATCCTCTTGTTGAAGTTCACACTAAGACTCGAACCCATTATCTATCTCTTCAGACACTCTAGTTTGTAAAAGTAAAGCATGACTGACTAGTGAGTGAAGATAAACAAATGCTAAATATGTGAGACCATGTAGCATCCACTGTGGATTTCTGCTCAGATTTCGTTGTGTGTTGACCATTTGTAAATCATGTGAATAACCTTGTCTAGTCTAGTTTGGTTCTCAATCGTCGGACGAACGTTGGGTATCTAAGTTCACATAATCTGTTATCCGGATGTCTATAACGTATTGACCCTATTAGTTTTATTATCAAGTCGCATTATACATTTATTGTCATCAAACCATATTTTTGCCTTTATATCACTTTTACTCGGTTGCTAAGTTATGATATCGATCGGATTATTTCTTACATTAGTACGTGCAAAAATATGTTGGTATAACTGTTGCCACACAACAGCAACATGTGTAAAGGAAATAAATCATTATTGTTCAAAGTGAGAATAAGTGATGAGCACGTAAATTTCAGAAAATAGGACAAATCTCTTTCTTAAACAATAAATAGAAATGGAAAATGTATGAATCCCTATTATATTCGTCTTCTGCGTCGTTCCCAATAAACTGTACTATTTAATTGATGGTTATTTGTGAGTCAGTGATTACAGTGAAATAGATTACATAAATAAAAATGATAAGTAAAAAGTACAAATTGATAGCATGATGACATGTATACTAGCTGTGATAAGAATAATATAGGCTTGGAGCAATGCTTTGTGATAGGAAGTAGGCCAATGACCTGGCAAAATAACATTAAAACAACATAAAATTATATTGTGATTAGACAGTGGAGTGTACATTTGATAAAAGTGGGTAAATGAAAATAAACGAACAAAGTGTATGTAAAATAATAATAAATAAATTCTTTTATTAAGAGTAATTCAGCCAAGGAAGATATATTGGTGTTATAAATTTCTTATGAACACAAAAACTTGGACTTCTCGCTCGAATCCCTATAGCTTCTGAAATATCTAAGAGACGAGATCAAACTCCATAAGGAAAGCCAGGAGGCATACGATAAATTACGTTAAATCATTTATTTGGATCTACCGTATCACTGCTATCGGTCAAGTGTAACGGAACAGAGCTATGTGTTGCTTTTATCATGCCCTTCCCTAACCAAGAAGGGTGGTGTTCACTAAATCGTTGGCTTAGTTATCTGGTTATACACCCAACATAGTTTTCTTCACAGGAGTAGCTGAATCCATAGATGTACATGAATGTAAATGTGATACTTATTACCATTTTTAAATTTTAAATAAAGTCTAAATAAGCAGCTAAAGCAGAATATTATGAATTCATTTTATATTTTAGTTTTCCTCCAGCTACTTACAGCTGTATTCCTAGAACATTGAATTATGATATAATAATAAGCAATAGACATTAGTGATAGAGAGAATTGGAATAACAACGCTTATCAGTTATAACTTCATATACTTACTACCTCACTCCCCTCCATATTTTTAAATCTCAACTTCAAACTGCTTCACATATGGAGACACTGCTCGAATGTGATGTTCTAAATTAGTTCTCACATAAGTGAGGTTTGAAATCCTAAACATATCTTCACAACAACATTCAAATGCTCGGTGTGGCGGCCATAACATCCAAGATCCTTTGACAGCTTCTCCATTTCAATACCCAGTTGTTTTAAAGTCGTGATTTACCATTACCTGTAGAAGGGGTTTTGTGGAAATTTTTTAGATATTTCAATAGTTGAAATCATGAGTCACTTGAAGCTAGACCACCATGGAAAACCTGGAGGCACTAGACGGCCGTTTCGTCCTAGTATGGGACCAGGTCTGTTGTGAGATATCAACTCACTGAAGACAATGGTGTACGGTGGCGCAACTTCGTGGATTGGTTGAAGTTAGATATTAACACCGTTGAATGCCGACTCTGGTCTAATGGTTAAGCGATCGCGCGCGAGACTGGTAGGTCCTGGGTTCGGATCTCGCAGGGAGAGGGATCGTGGATGCGCATTGCCGAGGAGTCCCATACTAGGACGAAACGGTTGTTCAGTGCTTTCAGGTTTTCCATGGTGGTCTAGCTTCAATTGACTCATGATTTCAACTATTGATATTACCTGTAGGTCTTTTTTTACTTCGCGTGTAGAAACGGTGTACCATTGACTGTACACCAATGATGCATGTATATACCTATAAATCACATCGGATTTTAGTTTAAGAGGGTGTGATAACAATTCGATAGGCACTCGATAAATGAAATACGGTGTGGTACACAATATTGTAATGGACGAAATCATGGGTAGTAAACCAGTTTATTGTATTCTGCAAAGTCACACGTTATGTTTGTAAATTTTCAAAACAATTCACTATTTGCCCATCTTCCTTGAGTTATCCCATACAAACTTCATTGCTCTTTTATTCGTGTTGCTATTTCGATTGCTTTCTATTTTCCTCTTCTGCCCGCACAAGTAGTACACAGCACAGTATAAAGTTTTATCATCATCCCAATGTAAGTTATATTTAATTGACAAAAATTACTTAAACATTTATTCAAATTCACTTTAGATATTTTAAATTTGAATAAATTCAGTGTAGTTATTGTTTGTATTAAATTTACATTCTATTTTTTTTTAACATACATATATGTATATGAAGAGATTTTGTTCTGTTGAGATCATGGGGAATACATAACAATAATTGTTACTTTATATGTTGTACTTCTGTTGAACATCCTAAATGTCCACCGATTCCAAATTATGTACGGTAAGTGTATATTTTTGTTAAATATAAACTATCCACATGTTTTTTCTCTCACTCTTATGCATGAAATGTTTGAAAATCGTTTGAAATGACTCAGATGCATTCACTTTTTCTCTTTTCTTAGTTCCTGAGTTTATAAATTCCTGAAAAACTTTTTTATTATTTCAGTGATTTATATTTTCTTAAATTTTGTCTTCGATACCTAATCTTTTCTATTAACACTTATACGTTTACTAACTACCGCTACTTTGGGATTTGCTCTGAAAATTTCATCTTGCTGTGGTAATAGGCGGTATAGCAACTTGAAGCGATAGTAATACGTACCAGGTTCAACGTTGCGTTTGACTGAATGGCTGACTGACTATCATGAAAGGATTTTCATTGAGCATAAACATTCGAACATACGTTAATGATATTGTTATTTCCAGTCTAACAAGAAAATCGCACTACTACTTAGTGTACAAATTATCATGCATTGTGTGATTGATTTTATAAGATATGTGATGTGTGTCCAGTGAAATTAAAGTGTGATTGACCAGTAAGCATGTTTAGACAAACACTCTGACAACTAACTATTTAATGTGTTATCTTTTCTGAATGTTAACTGCTTATAAATTATTGTTTAGCTTATATTCTAGTTCTCTTTGTCTGGTTGTAAATCGTGTATCTGATATAACGCGATCCGGTCTATTTATACCCAATCGATTGAGTATTCAGCCTGATGTCAGTCACCGGCCGAATTATTGTATTGAGGAAACGAGAAAATATTTTTATTCATCCATTATATCAATGAGTCCTTTATCATATAACTAAATTCATATTTTAACCAAAGAGTGAAGTTAGCCTAATATATTGTTACTTTAACAATAGCTAAACATACTTAGATTATGAATATTCTATTACCACTATGGGATTTGAATCGACAATTGTATCTCTGAGCTAGTGTGGTATGGCAACTTGAACTTATGTACGTACGTACGAAGTTCTACATTGTTGCTGACTGACTGACTGATTGTTTCAGTACCATACACTAATCTGTGGTCGTTATTGTTCTGTTTTTCTTCTCTCTCATACGCACCTTACATTCTTTATCTCTTCCCATTCTCATTATTATTGTGTGGCGCATATGAATCTGGTGCCCCCTTGTATCCATATTTATGTGTTCAAATAAATAATTAAGTATTAATATAAAGTTTGTTTAAAGACTTGTAATTTACCTATATATAATGTGTATGGTTCTAAAAATAAACCTATTGGAAAAAAAATTTTGAACTAAAAACACCACCCATCGTCTGTATATCTTTGTGTTTTCGTAGTCGTTGTTATTGTTATCTAATAATGATAATAATCCGTGGAATTTGCATTGGTTAATAAATAGTGTCCATGTTTAACTATTTTGCCCAAGGATGTACATGAAAACGCAATATTTTAATCCTGATTAAGCCTAGTGATCACTGATTTTCCGCATGTTTTAAAGCGTAAATAAGCTTCTCTCTCTACCAATTTTCCTTGATCTTCGTACTCACTAAACCTACAGACATAAATATTTCGGTAATTTTCATATTAAAGTTAACATTATAAATATATAATAGACTCGATGATCTTCATTTGATACAGATTCTTTCATTGTTGATTTTTTTCTAGATCTCTGTTGTATTTTACATTGTATATAAGTGTTTAGAAAACTTATTGATGGAATGATTTGTTTCGGTAATATTCTGTCTTTAGTAGTTTGAAATTTCGAAGTATTTGTAAATAAACAAACAGATCATACATTGTTTATTATTCTAGGTGGAAGTTTAGGTTTTTCTGTAATTGAATGATTTTTATCGATCCACAGTATATACTGTAAATCAGAATTCTACATTTTTCAATTCCATATTTAAATGTTTACATTTAATTCACATTAATCTTTCTACAGTCAACTGTATATTAATTTAAACAATTAGTATGAATTGCAAGATTTACTACAACTTCTAAGTTTGCATAATGATAACATCAAGGTATTAAATAACCCGTATCAAATTTCGTTACATATTACATTGATCATACTGTGTTTTACTAAGATATTTCAATGGCTATATATTTGTCCATAAATTACGGTTATTTACGTTAATTCACTGTCTTAATTTACTTTATTCGTATCAACGTTTTTTTTTCTTCTGTAAACAAATAGTTCTGAATACATTTTTTTTACAAGAAAAACAAATTAAACTCGTAATCAACACTTTAAGTCTATAATTTTTTCTTAAAAAAAAAACAATATTTTCTTTAGTGCTGAACAAGTAATTAGTGCGTGTATATTCCGACCAATTCCTGATTGTCCAAATCAATGCAACTTAGTATGGTTCTTATGCAATGATTTAAAGGTATGTTATTATTTTCGTACGATATCAAACAGTATGAATTTAAGAGAAATATTCTTGCCCCCAAATGCCCTGGTACGGCCGAGAGTGAGGAGAGTCCGCTCTTCCTCTCGAAATGCTCTCACATGGCCACGCATATATAGCCTCTGTCAGGGAAGTCCTACTCACTGCCTTCTCGTGGCGGGAATGTTGTTTACGAAAATGAGAGGACGAAAAGCGAATATCCGGCGCTTTAGCCGGATTCCAAACCAATGGTTCACATGGACTTCAGTATCCTGAAGGAACAAATGGCGTATGAACCAATTGTTGGTCACCGGCTACCATGAAACTGCATCTCCTTACAATGCTCCACTGCCTTGTGGATCAGACCTTCAGGTTGAAGGCTCGGGGAGTGGCCCCCTAAGAAAACCACTTGTTTCGGTTTGGGCACCCGGGCAGTATCATAACCCTCACAAATATCAAATGAGATTTGTGTGGCGCATATGTATTTGGTGCCTATTTGTACCAATATCTATGTGTTACAATAAATAGATAAATGAAAATTTATTATTAGTAGCTTCTATCTATTGTTTACTGAGCTTTTGATATTTGAACAAGAATTTCCAGATTTAAAATTTACTAGAAGTCGTTTTGAATGTTAGTCTCTTACCTTAGTAGAAGCTATTTTAGCATCATAATAACAGCAGTCTCCTTTATAGACATTGATTCTAAGTATACTAAAATGTTAGTATTTAAGTTCTAGATAAATATATATTTGAAGATATTCAGCTTCTAAGTAGCAGCTGTCAAATATATCCGGTCACATTTTGTTTTCTTTTGGGTACCTGATATGTTTGTCCACTTTTTATATTTTGCTGTTAATTATGAATGATAACGTTGATTGTTACACATTGATGTAAAGTTTTTTGATCAGTACTATTTTACTCAAACATTTTAGCTGGGAATTCCTCAAAGACTTCTAGATAGATCATTGAATTCTCTTCTACCTTCAATGATGGCTGGTTTAATCGAAAGATCTAAATTAATAGAAAATACTCCTGTTGATGACTTTTTTGTTAATATTCAACCGCGCCGTGCACATAGAAAGAAAAAACACAGTAAACGTTCAGCCAAAAAACATCATGCTCGTTCAAAGGCCATAATAAAGGCGTTGGATTCAGTACAAGAAAATGTTAGTCATTCGTCTGAAGACAGTGGTACTGCTGCTGATAATTTACACTCAGAAACTCAAAGGTTAATTTAGTGAATCTATTGAATCATTTTTTCTACTATGTATAACTTCTACTCATTTGTATTGTCAGTTGCTAGATAATTAAGTGACATAAATGATTGCTTAATACTTTCAATCATTTGTAAATCATTCACTTCTACCATTACTGTTTCTTAAGCAACGTAATTTATTTGTTTGTCTTCTCAGATTGATTTTATCTCTATATCCGGTAATGTATAGTTTATATTATGATTATTATTAATATTTTTTTGTAAATAAAAAGCGAAGCAGTGATAACTTTCAGATTTTTATTAAGTAAAATCAATGAATGTTTTAAGACGAAGTGAATGCATTTCATTTCCTCTACTTCAAATCTTTCTCATACACAGTGATTTGTTTAAATAAAATATTTTACTGTTTCAATTTTAAGAATAATATCTACGGTCATTTAAGTCACTAGCTAAGAGTAATAATAATATTCGCTGTTGTATTTTGAATAAAAATGTGGACTACCGCTACTGGTACCATTGTTTTGCTAGGACTGGAGAATAACGACGAGACTATAATTTATGGATGAACCAATCAGATTTAAGATGACATGTCTTGCATCTTGGCGCGAAATTCACTCATCCACGTAACGAAGTAGCATTTTGACGCTATAGCTGATGTTGATTTGTGATGAAAAGGCTAATTCTAATTCTTTACACTAACTGTTAACCCTAGCAAGTAGGTGGACATCCGCATAGTCATTAAGCATCGTCCATAAATTTTAATCTCACCAGAATTAACTATTACTTGCTACTTAGTGCAACGGGACAAACTGCTCTACCAAGACAACGAGGAAAGTAAGACCGTAGATGTAGACTTGTTTCTCAATCACCTATGAAAACGATATCGAGAATATTGATGTAATATTTATTAATTTAAGTGTTCGGTTTACAAATACATTATACCGCATTAAACTAGAAGTTAATTAATTATTTAATGTTTTTCAATAATTATTTAAAGTAAATAAATTACCTGTTTAACTGAACGATCTAAGTTCTAACTGAATTATTTATTTGTTTTCTTAACATGTGTATTATGTATTTTCTAAAATTCAATTTATGAACAAATTAGATAAATAGAAACCAGATTGTAACGTTATATTAACTATAGGAAACGTGTGGATATTGCTGCAGTTTGTGACGGATCCCAGCAAAAGAGCTTATTCAAGACATAACAATACGCACAGTTACTAGTGATACACCAAAATGAATTAACACTACAAACCTAAGTGTCGGTTTATGAGTAAAGCAAAAAGGTAACAAATAACACAATAAAAATGGTACATTAAATAACAAAATGATAATAGTTGTTATGAAATGAATGTTACTTGTAAGCTTCTGAGATAACAATCAAAAATAGATCCAATTGATTAACGGATGTTTCTCTGCATGTGATAACACCAACAGCGTAGTGAGAAAGATTAAATCCGATAGCATTTTCCAATTAATAATCCGGGACGAAACTCCAACGAAGTGTAGAATGGTTTAAAACAATGTCATAACACCATTATAATATTCTAATACTAGCCGTGTCCAATAAAGCAGAAGAACAGACGGCAGAGAGGCAACCGCTCATTGGCATCCTCCACGGTTGAATGCTACTGAGCACTTAAAGATCAAATTGTCGTAAAACGGTTGGTACATCACCTCGACAATCTATGGGTTTTGCAGAAGCGTTCAGATCAAGACAATTTTAGATTTGATGAGTTTTAATGACCGAGATCTGACGCTAACTGGCTCGTTTCTGATTCCTACTGAGATATACAGGTTAAAACATCGTTGTGGCAGACCTGCATGCCACTTCCCTGTCGATGATGGAATGTAATAAGTGGTATCAAAATGTGTGCACCGAAGTCACACCGGTTGCATATAAAAGGGAGTCGCAGATGCATGAGCACTTCAGGCAGACTTAAGTATTGTGATTAGCTGGTCCAAGGAGTAGCTGATGTCTATCAACGCTGCAAAGTGGGTCTACATGAACTCTGGGGATACAAATCGATTTCTTTGTAGTCGCTTCTTACCGTTTCAGTACAGTTACAAGAATCCGGTCATGTTCGATGAGTGGTAGTCTTGGCATTCCACTGAACTAATTCTAGTCGGTGTGGTACTCATTTGTAGACTTTTACATTTTGTAATTTCATTGCGTTTGTCTCAAGACAGCAGGGTTTCTGCATAGCAGCAGCTACCGAATTACCAAGCTAAATGTTGGTTGGTTGCAATGTGAAAATTATAGTATGTATCAAGATGGAATCGAAAGAATGAGTGGGGAACGGAGAAGATAATAGGAGAGTAGGAGTAATTACTGATACACGGCTATGATGACCGTGGTAATTTGTAAGGCGTGCATCGAACACAGCTGGTCTAGGAGGGGATGGCAGTCTACGGCCGAGTATGTGTTTGTCAAGTCTCTTGGTTTACAGAAACAGTTCGTCTCAACCCAAGTATCTTATGACTACGGAGAGTAAGGCCTTATGTAGAAAACACCGGGACTTACCAATATTTCCACTTTCCAAACCTCGTGTGAAATCAAATTTCATTATTACGATCAGGTCCCTCAACACATTAGATAGTCTTTTCATCTCTTCTTTTCCTTCTAGACATATTTTATTCCTAAACATCTAAGATCTATAACTAAAAACAATTTATCCTATGTTACACTTTAAAAAAATTAACTCAGTTTCATTTTGTCATATATTATATACATATAACACAGAAATTTATATTTCTTATTATCCTTTTCAATTAATTGTGACTTTCATAGCATCATTCTAAATTATTATTGCACAAATGTTTATACTAATATCCGGTTTTACTCTGCATTCTATTACATAAATCTACATTTATTCATCCGAGTTCACACAATTATTATCATGGTGGAACCTTTTCACTAGGTAATCACTTCCTTTCTCTCTCTTTCTTTCTTCCAAATAAATATTATTCATAAGATTCCGAAGTTTGTAATTAAGACAATAACTATGACTGCACAAACACTTATTCTAACGTCATGTCTTACTGCAATAATAAGTTATTTTTTATTATTTTATATTATTCTTTTACTCATTTGGCGATACATACATAGTCGTTTCTCATTCTTGTGTTCATAAACACACTCAATAAACTATTTGCGTATTTCACGTCTTCTTTATATCTATTCCCTTTCCTTCTTTAAAGTCAACTCGATATTCTCAATTACACAGAATCTGATTTATTATTATTGTTCTATTGTCACCATTATTTTCTCTTTTCGAATATAGCAAATATAATGCTAACATTACTGAACCTTGTGCATTATTGCATTTTTGAAGAAACCCGAAATGATTTGTTCACAACACTTCTGTACCCAGTAGATGTTTGTGAATAATGATAATAATAATAGTGAACGGCAGTGTTGTAGACAACTCTGATACCATTTTTGAACAATTTAGCCGCCATTTCTCGCGATGCTACAACACGAAGTCTATATGGAAAAAATCACATCATCCATGGATTCAAAACGGGAGCATGTATCGATATTGCCCACTATATGTCGCTAAATTGATATCTATGCTACCAAGGATCATGGAAAAATTCATCCGCAAACAGTTATTATCATTTTTACTTCCGGCTAGCCTATTAAGCACATACCAGCGCTTCGAGTTTTATCTTGTCAGGTCCTGCTGTTTTCTCACTCTTGATTAGTCTGACGGCCGTCCAGATTTCTTCGATCGTTGCTTGAGTGACATCCATAAGAATATCTGTAGGTACTGCTTCGATATCCGATGAATTCAATGGAGCCTGTTTATTCAACTGTTCTACCCATCTCTTCCTTTGTTCTTCAATTTCAGTGATTGGGTTGCCTTTTTTGTCCTTTACGGTTTTATTATTATATTAATTATAATATTTTCCCACCATTTTCTGCGCTGTGTCATACAACTGTCTCACATTACCTTCTGTTGCAGCTTTTTCTCCTGTCTTTGCTAGCTCTTCCACTTATTTCTGCTTCTCAACCCTAATGGTGTTTGTCACTTGATTGTTTGCTTCTGTGTACTCGGCTTGTGTCTTGATATCCTCTGCTCTTTTTCGGCAAATGTTAGTTGCTGTCTTCTCTGTTTGATGAACCTTGTCTATGGATTCGATAGAGATCCATTTCTTATGATGATGCTTCATAAGGCCCAGAACCTCCTAACACTTGAAGTTAGCGCTTCTTTGTTCCCTCCTCTTCAGTTGTCCTCTATGGTAGTTTCCTCTTCTTCGATGAGTAGATCGTGTAAGGCCCGCAACCTGTTGTTGAGAGCTATAATGAATTCTTTGAGTTTGTCAATATCTCGAATGAAACTGTATCGAACGTTTGTAATGCTGTTTGTCCAGTTGTCCAATGCTACCTTGGTAACCACCAGGTGGTAATCTGAAGCTATGTCAGCTCCTCTCCTGGTTCTCACACCCTCCCTTGACCTTGTAAATCTTTAGTGCCTGTAGGTAACCCTCGTGCTATTGATATTAGAAACAAGACTAGTAGTGAATAAGTCTTTATTTAGATCGTCGCTCAGTCACAGTGGAGCGTGGGATTACTTGTTCAGACAAACAGAGCTTTTCAACACTCAATGGAGGATAAGAGGAAATATAATGCCTATACAAAATAAGGAAGTGAATGGATACTTGAACTCTATCGTCTTGACATATACTTAGTTGTTTGAGGTCACCTCTTAACCAGTAAACCTAGGCTGTTACATCAGCTTCCCCCTAGAATCGACTTCCGTAGGAACGTCGGTTCGATTAACTGATCTATCAAAAACATGTAAGTTTTGTCTCCGCAGCCCAAGGGAGAATTGCCGACTCGCTCAGTGTTTGACTTCCAAACAATGACTAACTCCGTCAGCAATCGACGATAGACCATGGATGTCTTATCATTTGCTAGCTTGCTATCTTATTTTGTAGCATGTAATTTCTTCTACAACTATCGCTGATGGATTTCTATGTGCCCTCTGTATGGTGATCAGAGCTTGGAAG